GCGCCCCAAGCAGAACAGCCTCCGCAACTTCTCAACAGTTCCCTTGTTGTATTACTGTAATCATTTGCAAAAAAATGTGGCTCACCTGAAAACTACAAACATGTTGGGCATCATATGTTTGTGCGTGTGCCTCTTAACATCTAGGAACACAGTGGGAAGACACTAAGATCTGAACACCACGTGTATGTGTGCCACTTGGCAGGATGTTCTGAAGATGATGTTTTGCACACATACCTGTATCCTCCTTTGGGCGGAAAAAAGTGCCGAACCTCAATCCGGCAAAATTTTCCGCCGGATTCCGAAAAAAACGCCGGAGACCGAAAAAACATCCGGATCCAAGATTCTGAAAAACATATATAGATGATAAAAGGTTGGATCATACACAAGGAAACTGCCTTTGCGCCGCGAATAGTTTTTCTGGAGCGCACTCATTCCACAGCCCAGCACTGGGGCCTTCCCGTTCCCATTGCCCTCGCCCATCTTCCGAATGGCCTAAGAGCAGAACCATCACAAAATATAGGCAACTTGTGCCTTGTGCCCAAGCAAAGACTGCCAAGAAGAAACCAAAGAGTATGTGGCAAGGAGCCCCTCTTTCTCTGCAACCGTGTCTCTATACAAAGCGGGTTGCTCTCCATGTTTCTTTAAAGCTTGCCTCAGGACCGCCCCCCCCAATAAAGTAGCAGAACTCATGGTTCCTGTCAAAAACTCTTAGTTGAAACAACTTTTCAAAGTCGAAGCCTGCAGAAGACTCAGTCCAAACAATTACGCCGGATTTACGGGAAATTACGCCGGAGTTACGGGAAATTTCGCCGGAGTTACGACGCGCGCCATTTTTTTGGCAACTCTCTGCAAAACATTGAAATTCTGAACAACACATCCCAAAACTTGTCCGGCAGGCTTTGCAAACCTGCGCAGCTAGAACTATATCCCAGCGCCCCGACATCCTGAAACAATGGGAGTACATGTTTGCCTATGTTCTTTCAGCTTAGGTACACCCACTTGGATCTTTCAACACGTGCATCGCACAGTACCGGCTTCATCCGATTTCATTTAGAAGATCACCTAAACGGATCTGATTGATCCAGTGTGAACCATGCTGAAACCGGTGGAATGAGAAAACAGCGGACAGGCAAACGAGCACACTTTGCAAACAACATCATTGCATCAGTAGTGGGCTTACCTTCAATGCAAAGAAATGCAAACCACATCAAACCACAAAGAATGCAAAGCCTTGAGAATCCACATAAAGTGACTTGGAAGAAGTGCCGGACCAAATCCAGAAAAACGCCGGAGTTGGAAGTCCGGCGCCGGACCCTGTAAAAGTGCCGGACTGAAGATCTAGGTATATCTTTCTATCTCTTGGGGTTGCTCTCTCTGTCTCTCTCTCTGTGGAAATTAGAGTACTCGATCAAAGTGCGCACACACACACATGGCTTGTATTGGGATATGAAGCGGGTGTATGGTACAACAATGTACGTTTGATGCGTCCCATTCACGGCAACCTTTAGTAAAAGGCGAAAGATTGGTGCGCTATGAAGTGAACGCTGTGATGACTACATTGGCTTTCCTTGGCTTGTAATTAGTGTCTGCATTGTTATGTCAGCAATAGGAAGGAGGGAACGACATGCTATGCCTGACGAATGCTTGACTCCGAAGCCTACGTGCTAATAACATCTAATAACTAACCTTTTACAATGCTGTTTTGTGTAGTTGGGAATTGAAGTTATCGTAGTGTTTCTGCTTGAGCTACGTTTTGCCCCCGCGAAGGTGTGCCAGGTTGTGACATAGCTGGGAGTTCCGCATTCGCAAGGCTTTAGAAAGACGCGACCCTCCCGGGCCTGAGGACTCGTTGTCTGGGACTTTCTTTACGTACTTCTGCTTGGTTGCAATCAAGAAGGTACTGCCAAACTGCGAATGTGGGCAGATGGTTCATGTCGTGTGCATGCTCTGGCGAATGGGTGTGAATGGCGAAGGCAGCGTGGACCCGCAAGGTGATGACCTCTGTTACGAAGGTAGGTCGTCCCAAGAGGTGGCCTTGGAGTGGAATCGTTCTCAATTCCAGGCGCGACTAGTCGAACTAAGTCGATATGGGTTTCTGCAGCCAGGTTCATGGACAGCGAGGACCAAAAGGTATCAAAAGGTAGACATGCATGCTGTCTGCATAAATGTGGATTTGTTGAGCAGGATCTTTAGGGGCCAAAATCTCTATATAAGCAACATAGGACTGCACGTGATATAGTTTATGTCCTGCCTGGAGGGGTGATTTCTTTGCGCTTGTGCATCAAGACGATCATGCATAGTTGTGCGACAATAATGTCTGAAGAAACAGGTCATGAAACATGTCAGGTGCTCCAATTTTCTCCTATGTTAGTAGGAGCTCCTGCAACTCGGTAACCATCTGCTGCATTGTGAGCAACAAATAGGGCTCTATTTGCAGCCGTGGTTGAGCGCCATGGAAGCCAAGCGGTGAACGACGTGCTGAGCCGATTCCACAAGAAGCTGAAAGCAGCCGCCTCCGACAAGAAGGCAGAGACAGAGAAGGCAGCAGCAGTCAGAGCGCAGGAAGCAGGTGCAGCGAAGGCCAAAGCTGCTGCCGACTTGGAATCAAGTGGTGGGATCAATGTGCACTTCGCGTCACTGGGTGCAATGACAACGGTGCCAATGCTGTCCAAAACGTTTGCGCCATTTTGCCACACGCTCTCCGTCCCCTTCCACTTGCAAAGCAGGACTCTGCAGTGCTGCGAAGTCCCTGACCATCCGCCAGGTTGCCCTTCCACCACGTAAGTAGGCAGGATTTCCAGTGGCATTTGGATCGTACTGCCGACGACCCTAGATACCAAAGATTTTGATGCCTCACTGAAGCTGGTAGGATTGTCCTTATGGCCATCGACGTTCTGATTCAGCACTGACAAACTTCCTGGTGATCGCAATGGCTGGCATCAAAGCAACCACTGGTTGCCCTGGCGCTCCAGCAGCTGCATTGGGCAGCGGACTGGAAGCACTCAAAACATCGTAGTTTGAAGACACTTTCATGTCATTGTCCCTTGTGTATAGAAAGATGGGAACTCCAAGCACTTTGAACAGCTTAGAAAGTGATGTCTCATGTTCTTGATGCATGTCGCTGACATTCGGTTGAACTGAACCACCATGATCCAGAATGTCTATCGCGATCACTGTAATTGTACAGTTCGCCAATCCCAGCCAACCTAGGTCTGTCCCAGTAAGGCATTTCAACGTTGTTGTTCACGTGGAAGTACGCATGATTTGACCCGCAGCCATATGTTTCTGGTTGGGTCAGGTCGCCTGATCTGAACCACGAGTTCCGCTTCGCGTTCGTCGTGCCTCGCCTTGGCAGGTGCGCCTGGAGGATTCGTGTTCGAGCTGGGCAACGCACTTCTGACCCCCTGGAGGCCGTTTGATTCGAGATCAGTGGAGTGCCTAGGCTTAGGTCAACGTGCTGGACCAACGTGGCCATGATGGACCAACTTGATTTTTATAAATAAAAACCGCCCTCAATGTGCCACTCTTAGTGTGAACGGATCATAGACCTCAGGGAGCCTGGCTAGGTGTGTTTTCCAGTGAAAGAAACCAGGCGTCACGTCAGGGACCTAGCTGCGCTCGGGACCCAGCCCTCTCAGAAGATGTGTCGCAATAGGTCAGAAGATGTGCCGCGGAGGTGATCGTGCACTTCACCAAAAAAGATGTGCACCAGAAAAAGGATGAAAAAGGTATAGGTCCAGGTATCCTGGACCCTCCAACGACAAGAATTTTCTTGTTGTTTTTGTTTTTGACTACATTTGCCAGCAAAAAGCTACAATCGCTAAGAACGACATAGTTTCCTGGATTCTCATAATTTACTTCAGTTTTGGTGTCCTGACTGCCAAAGGTTAAGATGGGACGCTCGACAAGAATTACCCGCAAAACGCCCGCAAATATCTTTCAAACGCTAGCAAATACCCGCAAACGCCCGCAAATCCCATTTCCTTGTCGTTCCAGTTGTTTTCTCTCTGTTTACGAAACGCTAGGTTTTTTATCGAATCGACAAGAATGACAAGTTTGTTTTGTCAAACGATTGATTTCAACAAACGACGCGAAATCTCTTTGCATTGGAGGTTCAAGGATAGGTCTTTCCACAAAATAGAACTGATACTGAAAGGATGCAAAAAAGCTGGTCCATCACCACTTAAAAAAGGTAAACACAGTCACCGATCTGCCCCTGACTGAGGCAGCGCGCGCGCTTTCAGCGCGGCCTAAAATCAAGCTGACCATGACGAAGTCGCTGTGGCCCTCAAAGACCCTCAAGCATTCACCACCGATGGCCCAAAGGCGTGCTGTACAGTCCTCAGACGCGCTGGAAAAGGATTCAGAATCGAAAAGACACCCACGCGATTGGTGCAAAAGTCGGGTCAATTCGTTTGAACATTTTGAACCATCTGCATAATACAAATCACCTAATTCTCCAGCCCTCCTTCAAGCCTTCAATGACAATATCACTGGGCCGAATCCTTCAACAGCGTGGTTGATCTGTGAACAGTATCAGTTTGTGATTCTGCAAGCTATATGCAACTCTCTTCTGAAGAACCAAGTCACAGCTACCTTCTTCGTAACGCCATAGTCACGGCACCCATCTCTTTGAGCCGAGGATCTCTGGAGCAGGTGACGATCTTCTCCTCCGACGACGAAACAAAGTTGGCCATGTTGACCCATTGCGAATGGCCTTGGTACCTCGCAGTGATGCAAGGAGTGATGTGCAAAAGCCTTCGGGGTGAACACATTTCTGAAGAAGCAATCTCTGGTAAATACCAGTACCTTCAAAGTGACCAACCTTGAGATCGGAGGCTTTTCGGTCAAACACAATAAAAGCTTGTACACGCTTGTACAAGCTCTCAAACAGACACCAGTTTGAGGTCACAAATTGAAGGTGCTGGTGGCCATTCCTCAATAGATCTCAATAGGATTCCTGGCCTACCATTGAGATTTCATGGGTTGAATCGGGAAGAAAGCCTTGTTTGACTAAAGGTCCTGCACAGCAGTTTGTTCTTTCCAAGATTCCGTTTGTCACCCCAAGTATATGAGAGTATAGCATATACTTAGCTCATTGAAGCTCCAAAACATCTCCGACCTATCCCAGTTTCTTGTAGAAAACCTCTCCTTCCTTCAGAATAGCGTCACATCGTCACGACTGCTCGGTGCGGTCACGTCTGGACGCAGCTCCCATTGGATCGGCTCCAAAGCTTCGCCGTCCAATCGGCCGAGGCCGTGAGGATCCACCTGAACAACCCCACCGTCGGACTCGCGTCCGTCGTCCGTCCGGGTCCGACCGGGTGGGGCGAAATCAGCTATATAGCTAGTACACTGGCTGCTGAGTCTAGATGCTGCTTCGTAGAGGCTACTAAGTGGAACAATAAGTTCATATTCAGATGTGTGAAATCACGGAAAAAAAAGGGGCTGACCGTATAACATTAAAATTCATACTACAGTATCGGTGTGAGAGAGAACAATCTTTTAGCAAGGCCCTATAGAGAATTTGTGTGGTTTTAACAGGTATACGGTATACGGTATTCCTACATCTTCATTTGTATGTATGTGTTTTGTTTTTCAAGCACAACGTGGTTCTTGGGGCAGTCGGCGGACATTTCTGTAGTGCAGCACTTTTTGGATTGATAGAATGGGGGAATTGACCAACAGTGACACTTCGCCCCCCCAAAAACAAGAAACGAAACAGCGCAAAACGACGCAAAACTGCACCGAAGCAACGCAAGTTATTTGCGCACTGTTTTGTTGCACTACTGAAGGTCCAAAGTGGCAGGCAAACCCATGAAGCAGCAGTTTTTCCAGGAAACGACCAAAACTACATCAAGCGACAGAAATTAGTTAAGTTTTACAAGAAAACAACAAACAATTTGCATACCCGGGTGTCTTAGGTATATAGGTAAAATATTGTAACATACACAGCATCACTCAATATTACTCTTCTATGGGGAATTCAGCGGTCCAAAGCAAACATCTAAAAACAGTTGATGAAGAGCGCTGTATTTAGCAAACAAAACAAACCTCCATCCTTCTCAGTCTGGCCTTTTTGGGAGGAATTCGGGCCAGGGATGTAAATGAAAGCAACCGAACTGTCACTGGAGACTTTCCACATACACAACAAATAATTGTTGCTTATATGGAGGATTATGGATGTCATATTGCCCTTCATGATGTCGCCCTTCCTCATTCGATACCTCTTCCTTTTAAACCTCCAAAGGAAATGTCCCTGTTCGCCACTTCGCCTGAAAAGTTCCACCGGCGAAACGGCCGAAAACCTCCCCGACACCTCCGCCGTAACGCGCGCGCGCGGACAACGCACGCCGCCTGGGTGAGAAAGAGAACACCGCGGAGCGGACGTAAGCATAGTGTCCCTGAAAGGTCTGAACGCATTCGCCTGCTCGTTTCACGAGACGAGGTGCAGGATCCGATGGCAGCCGTTGGTTGGGGCAGTGGGTGACCGATTCCGAGCACCGTGGCTCCCAAGGGTTGGACTCGCGGAATTGAGGTGTCTTGGTGCTTCCATTTTCACGAGCGACATGGAGGTCTTGGAGTTTGCAAGCCTTGCTATTTGCAGGCAGTTGGTGGCCTCAATCTGGGTTTACAGGTCACCACCTGAAGAATTCGAATACATGGAAGTCATGCCAACTTTGCCGCACCAAATGCAGCAGCAAACCTCTGAGTCAGAATCAAAAAACATGTCCTCCGACTCGCCAAAGGGCACCCATGGGCACCCTGTGGCGCACCTGTGTGGGAACACCAAAGCTTGGCCGTTTTGTCCGCAGCCGCGGAGAGCACAAAGGTGCCATCCGGACTGAAGTAGGCCGTGTTGACCTCGCTGGTCGGACCATCGGACCCATCCGCCAACGGCGTCGGGTCACATCGGACGTGGCGAGTGGCGAAAAGCGAAAAGCATAGTAAACAGCTGGATGCATTAAGTGCACAGATGCACTTGCACATCCCGGATGCCGGATCATTGATAGTACCCTTCTTACTCTGAAGGGTGGTGCTGATGAGAGCTTTGCAAAAACATGGCTGGCCATCTCAGATGCTAAACAATAGACTCTGCGGACTGCATTGTGACCACATGTGACCACCATCGAGTGACCACCTGCTGATCAGTGCCTGCTTTGGACTGCCTACAGTGCCCCAGCTGCCCCATTCTCCACTGGGCACACCAGACCCAGCCCCAGTGGCCATGCAAGCTTCTCACCAGCCGCGGAGCCTCAAGTCGGTAAGTCCCAAACACTCCGTATGTGCTCCTGACCTAGTGGTCCCCAAATAGATCGTGAGATTAGGGTGTCCAAGATATGAAACGAACGTGGGGATCTAGGAACTTCAATCTATTTGGGTGTCTATATGACTAGGGCCAGTGGATGATGATGATGATGATGATGATGATGATGATGATGATGATGATGA